TCAGCTCAGAATGGTTTGTGGCTTGGAGAAGAACTTCTACATGGTAGAGTTCCCATGAATCTTGCTCATCTGGTGGTAGAGTTTGTGGATTTGAAGTGCTCTGGAAGAAGTCTTAGTAAGTTGTTGTAGTGCATCTTCTAGATGGCATACACTGCTGCCACTGTGCAGCAACCATCCAGTCAAGTAGGGAATATTCTGTCCTGACTTAAGTCTTGTAAGTAGTGAGCATGCATTAGGGAGATGAGAGGCCACAGAATTCCGAGCCTCTGACCTGCTTTTGTAGTCACAGTATTTATGTGGTAAGATCAGTTCAGTTTCTGGCCTGTGGGGAGATTCGGCTTTGGTCATGCTACCAAATGTCTTGATTCCCTCTTGTGGGTGATTGTTATCGCCTGACACCTGTGTGGCATGATTGTTGCTTATCAGTTATTGCCCAAGCTTGAATGTTGACCCGATCTGGCTACATATGGATGGGGACTGCATCTAAAGAATAGCAAATGCTTCTTAACATTGTGTAATTGTCGGCAAAGAGCTCCTTTGCCTCCTCTATCCCTATAAGCCTTTCCACTCTTTTATACTCTTCTAGCAAATTAGCAACTTTAATTGCTCCATTATTGATTGCTGTGTTTTTGATTGCCTGGCCTCTTCATCTCTGGAATTCTTTCTATAAGCCTGTCAACTTGTCTTTCTGGTCTCTAAGGTGCTCCTTAAAACCTGCCTTTTTTATTAAGTTTTTAGTCACCTGTCCTGATATCTCCTTAAATGGCTTGGTATCATTACCGGCATTAATATCATTCTTGTAAATGCTTTGGGATGTTAAAAGCATTATATAGATGCAAGTGGTTGATTTTTTTTTTTATCTGTTAATCTGCTCATTCAATTTGCTGCATTGAACTCTGAGACAGTATGGTGCATCTACCAGTTCATGCTGACTATGGTTCATCAACTAGCTGATGCTGTAGAAAGATAGATCTACTCATATTACCTGTATCTTTAATTAAAATTGTGTATGATAAAATTGCAATTACAGCATTTGTCTTAATTGATCAGTTTTTTGCTTGTTATTCAAGTCAAATTTTATTTTAACAAATGGTTCAATGAAAATATTTCTGCCATTGCATCATGCAATTTACCAACTAAACACTGCTCTCCCCTTTGCTTTCAGAAAGGAGACATGGTTCTTCATGTAAGGCAACCCCCTCACCAGCTTCTTCAACCTCCAATTCCACAACATCACCTGTCTCAATGAAATCCAAAGCCTGCAGTAGCCATATGCTAGTTGGTAGCAACTCCAAGCCATTCAAGTCACCAAAAGACAATCTCCATGCCTCCAATAATAGGCAACCCCAGACAGCCTTTCCTTCCAAAGTAACAAGAGAAAAACCATGGTGGGTATCTTCAGTCTGTTCAATTATATGAAACAGGATGGTTTTTCCGGTCATTGGTATGAAAACCACTTCAATAACATATCTCAATTTTATTCACTAAGGTAACAATTATTTATTTTTGGGCAACTGTTGCAAAGATTTCATTATGTCTTGTCTAATCAGTATCAGTAATGAGATTTTGCATGCGGTGTGAACAGGTGCAGTTGAATCATCTGTTGTGAGTCACAAGTATTACTTGATTTTTAAAAATGCTTTGTGAATAGCTGTTCTTAAACTGAACAAGACACATTTTGCCACTTTTGAAGTTACTACACTTATAGGAGTCCTTCAAGATGCTTTCTTTTGCATGAGGAAGGTTAGTTTGTTTTTCCATGAATACTTTTTTTTCAGTTTTGTCACTGTAGCGCAATCTGCCTTGTCCATTCTGGTTCCCATTGCAAACTTGGAAGGAAGTAAATGGATAGGAATATCTGCTGAGGAAGTCTTCACTTGTGACAACTAAATTTCCAGTTTTCTCTTGTTTAATTTGTTTCCTGAATGTAAATGGATTTGTATTTGAAATGTTCTTTGAAGTAACAAAACCAGTTTCCCAGTGTATTCATGATGACAGATTTTATTTTGTTGTAATCGTTTTATTTTTGTTGTTGTACCTTTCTCCCACTCACTTTTTCACTGTTTGGAGGTAGCGCTACGTGGCTCTGTACCACCAGCTGCCCACCAATTTCTTCCCTAACTAAACATGCTTCATGACTAATACTAGGTAGGGGATGTCGGGGCAAACTATTTATGACAAATATTACCGAAGTGATACACATGCACTCACACAGGAATCCCTGCATTGCAACCAGCCATGGGAATCAGCTAATTTTACACTTCATAATCTACGGGGCCAAGTACAGTGTCTTCATCACCAGCCCGTCTAATATGAACAAACACCACACAGACAGAATCTTTCTGGGTTTAAGGTGGAATTGTAACTCTTTTTGTTTCCACTTGCACTTAAATCAAATACACCAGTTGAAAATGACCTATTTTAACTGATGAAGCAAAGTGTTTTGCCTTGACATATTTAAGTATTCTTTTCCAATCTGCATCATCACACTATTCTTGCGAACACCTCATCACCATATATGGTGCAAATTTCAAGATGGTGCAAGATACTTTGACAGGAGGCTAACTGTGATTATCTGTCAGCTAACAGTAAATGTCCAGTCACCCAATCTTGTTATTGGTTTAGAGGTGTCCGTGTTTACTGCCTATGGTGTTAAGATCCTTTTGCAAGTGCTGTGACACTGAATGTAGCTGTGGGGGTGAGGTGACTATACCAGATTTGTAATGCAATTTGCGTTGCAGTATCTTATGAATTGTCATGGTTTATTTTGAGAATACTTTCTGTTTAAGATGATGGTTATGTTTGTAGGAGGGTGGTAATACGGTGGTACCACAGAGATGGTTTATAAATTTGGAACATGGGATCAGAAATAGGCCATTCAGCTCATTGAAGACCTACGCTCCGTTCAGTTAGATCATGATGAATCTGTACCTTCCCAGCTGTTGAAGCATTTTGGTTCTATAACCCTTAGTGCCTAATCAGTTTCAGTTTGGACATCTTCTTCAGTTGATTACACTTCAGCTTTTTAGTGAAAAGAGTTCTATGCATTTATTACCCTCAAATTGGTGCTTCCCAACATTGCTCCTGAGCAGCCTAATTCAATGTTGAAGATTATTCCTGCCCATTACTCTGGACACTGTCACTGTAGAAAATGGCTTCTTTTTATGCTATCAAATCCTTTAATCATCATTAAATACCTCAATTGTGCCGCTTCTTCCTCATCTAGATTCAAGAAAATACAGTCATGAGATGTTAGCCATTAACAAATAGTTTCAAATGATGTGAACTGGGATGTTGCACACTTAGCAAAAAAGAATGTTCTTCTTGTTATATTTCTGATTCATGATTTTTGATTAGTAATAAAAATCATTCAGTGTGACTGGGAAGGATGGAAGGGCTAGAATGTTTAACCAAAGGCATCACTCTGCGAGCCCAAGTGATCCTCCTGGCTTGTAGGGAATTAATGCCTGAGCAGATGCACTTCAAACAGGGTGCCAGGACATTTGACATTTTAAAATAACAGTGGGGACATTGACTTCCTGCCCATCCCATCACAACATTATCTGTACTCCTCAACATGAACATGTAATAATCCAAGCAAAACTGACCTGTCTCTGAGAAGAAGAGACATAAACTTACTTCAGCACCCACAAATGAGCGTAAACTGCCTAATGAAAGATTCCATCCAGTATTCCAGATATGGTCGCATCAGAGCACTACAGATATTTCTAATCAACCTGTGTAGACATGTTATGACTCACTTGGGCAACAGGTGGTCCTTGAACCTGGTCCTCCTGGCCCAGACATACACGTACTGACACTGTGCCACAAATGCACTGTATAATTGCAAGAAAAGTTCCTTACTGTTTTACACCAACACATATGCAATCAAGGCTAATATACTATTTGCCCTCAACCGCTCGCTGTACCTGTTCTTAACATTCTGTAATCCATATACTGTACAAGGACATCAAAATTCCTCTGTGTACCAATTTCTTAACTATTTTCTCACATTTGTCCTACCAAAGTGAATAATTTCACATTTCTACACAACATACTCCATTGGACACCTTGCTCACTCACTTTAAACAGTCTACATCCCATTTTTATATTTATGGAGTCAGAGTTATATAGCACTGACCAGATATCCTAAACTGATCTAGTCCCATTTGCCAGCATTTGGCCCCTATCCTTCTGAACCCTTCCTATTCATATACCCTCCTATAAACATAACCATCATCTTAAATGTTGTAATTGTACCCGCTTCCATCACAACCTCTGGCAGCTCATTCAACGCAGTAAAAAAGTATTAAATCTAAACTGTTTCTGGCTGTAGCTTTTGGTTTTTTTTTTACTTTAATGTTAGAATTGCAACAAAGCTCAAACATGTATAATTTTAACTGGAATTGCGGCAAAGTTAATAGAATCATAGACTCCATATAGTGCAGATCGAGGCCATTTGGCTCTTCGGGTCTGCACCGACTATCAAATAGCATCTCATACCTGCCCCTCCCCGCCCTTCGTCCTGTCCACGTAAACCCTTATTTACCATGGCTAACTCATCGTGCCTGCACAACCCTGGACACTATGGGTCAACGTAGCATGGCCAATCCACCTAACCTGCACATCTTTGGACTGTGGGAGAAAACCAGAGCACCAGGAAGAAACCCACGCAGACACTGGGAGAACGTGCAGACTCCACCAAACAGTAACCTGGTGCTGTGAGGCAGCAGTGCTAGCAACTGAGCCACTGTGCTGCCCCAAAGTTAGTGCATTCTCATTTTAATAATGGAAGTGCAAAGAAGCTGGTGCATTCCTTTCTCACAGTGAAATGTAAGTGGTGCTTGCACTATTAAATGAACAGAACCTGAACAGCAAGAGAGCAACTGGGTGGAATATATTTGTTTACTACTGTTAAACCTAAGGACAGGTAAACTGAGGCCTTTAAGTTCATTTTTCAGTTTGGGGAGCTTGCAAATATGATTGTTTCTTAAGAGAGAGAATTGATTCAGAAGGAACTTTAAAAATGGACTTAATTAGCTTGTATCGGTTTTAGAATTATAAAAAGTTGAATCAAACTACAGAAAGGGTTCCTAACCTCAAAAGATGGCAAGCAATAGATCACACAGTCTTTTTGTTTAACCAACTGCAGATGATATGAGGTCTGTAAGAACAAGCTAACAAGGTTAAAATCATCTTGTTGGCTGTATAAATTACCTCTGATATAGCTTGTGTTACTTTGAAAAGCTGCATGTGTATAAATCTTATGCATTGATAATTGTTCCTAAGTTGCAGAATCTGGCCTGTGATATAAACACAGTGAAAATGAACAGAAGAACTGTAGACTGCAAACCAGTTTGTATCAGAAATGCATTAGTAAATTTCATTTTCTTCCTTAATTCTGTCATTGCCACATAATTCCTTCCAGTAGGCCAGCAATATGTTGAGTTTGACTGAAACTATTTGCGTGGTTTCATGATACACTATCTGTGCTACCTTGCAATGTTTATATAGTAGGCTTAACTTTGCCACAATGTTTCTGCCCCTTTTTGTCTAGTTTGGAACTAGCTTAACTCAAATCACTTTACAAGTACAGTTAAGTTTGAAATCAAATTGAGATCTTCCAAGTGAGTGCCTACTTGCAGATGAAGCAAAGCACTCAAGTGAGGTGCTTGTCCTCCACATAAATCATTTAATTATCGTTATTTAACTGTTTAGTGGCTGTTGTGGAAAAATCATTGATTACAGGGCCTGTAAAAAATCTTAGCGGGCTTTGAAGAGTCTACTAATCCATTATCATTGATTATTGCATAATTAGTTTGTTAACATAAGTAAATGAGAGCATTTTCTTTTGACGTAGCCTTCAACAGCGATTTATTATCTGTACACTGACTGCTCAGACTCAGCAGGGGCTGCATTATATGAAGGCAGCAGCTTCTGTTTAGCCTGGTGCAGTAGTCTTCAATGAAAGTATTTGGTGTTTTGATGTATGCTTGGGCCTTTGGTGGACAGTGGTTTCCAATGTCAGATTCTACCTTTTTGTTCAAGTTAGATAAAGCTTATGCTTTCTAGGTTAATAGAGCCTTTCAATTCATGATTATTCCAAATGTCAGAGACAATTTTTTTTCTCAAAAGAATGGTGTGGGAAAACTGAAAAATATTTTCTTTCTCTATCTTTCACTTTATGTGAAAATTATCTGAATTTCTCTTTATTTTTTAAAGGTATATCATCCTCTTTGTTTCCTTGTGGTCTCACTAGAACATGCTCCTCCTGCGGTCTAAAGGAAGGATAGGTGAGCTGGTCCAACATCCCCAACCATACCATTCTTCAATTGACTATTCACAAGCATCGATAACAACCTGTTGGCAGTTCTGTCCATCACTACTT